CACACCTGGCCTGCCACTTTATGCATCTCTCACCTGAGCTGTTGCAGTTGATCTCTTACCTTTTGCTCTCAGTAGCTCAAAGCAAGTGTTCCTGCCAGAGGGGAGAGTTTTTGGAGATGGGGCTGTGGGAAAGGAAGCAGACAGGAAAGCGGGGAGACTGGGAGCCTTTGGGTGGGATTTTAGTGGGACTTCTACCTCATTTTTAAGCCTAAATTCTCTGTGTTTCCTGACTGAGAACAGCTTGCATGGGAACAGAGATATATTACTGGTTCTGTTTTAATTAGAGGAACATGGACTTGGGAAGTAGTGGCTGGCTCAGCAGGTCCAGTTCTGTTGCAGACCTGGGCAACTGTGTGATAGACTTTAGTTTTTCTAAGTATGCAGAACACCTTGTCTTCATATTGTTACACCACGAAATACTTGTAGTGTGCTATAAGATTAGTAGAAAAATACTCCAGCTGTAACTATGATAATGCAGAGAGAAAGCAAGAAAGATTAATGGCATTGCTATTTCGGGAATGAGTAGGTTTCACAGGCGTGTATGTTAGATCTTGTGACTTTTATGAGGAGTAAACTCTGCCGTACGCTGCAGAGGAGAGCCAAAAGGGGGATGGGAGAAAAGAGGCAATATCCTGAAATCTGATATGATTCTTTACCCACCCCAGTAGGTCTAGATCTAGAACTGAGTTTATTCACGAGTATGCCAGTAAGATGGATCAGCCAGGGCACCTAGGAAAATATTTTGTCAATAAGAGCACTAGTGCTGTAGGTCTGCATCCTGTTTATCTATATGGATAACTTTTGTTCTTGTAACTGTTCTCAACATTTGTTTAGCCTAGCAAAAAGGACAAGCTCTTCTGAATTATCTAAATAAAAGACCTTACAGGTTCCTAAGTATTCTATTTCAATTTTCTGCATTTGCTCCAATTTAAGTTCCTGTTGTTGAACACACACAGTTCTAATATTTCATCTCTGGTCTTATGCTTTGTACACTTCTATTGATACTTTCATGTTTCTACTAAAAGAAACCTTTTTGGTGCCTTTTAGGATTGCATGAGCTAGTTGTGCAATTATGTGTAGCTGCTGTTTTGGTTTTCTTCCTGTTAGCCAGAATAGCCAGCCACTTCTTCCTTCACCTTTGCTTTATAGATGTAGGTTTTATTATCAATCCCTTCCAACTTTGCATATTTTCTAGTATGATGATCTGATTTTCTTCAGAGTGGGCAGTATCTTCTGACTTTGCTGTCAGTTCTTGAAACACACCTTGTATTTTTTACTCTGATTGCAAATTGGCATGTGAAGCAAACATGCTTCCTAGTGATGATTCCTTTTAATCCTGATAACTTGTCTCTTAAAATTTTCTTTCATATAACTACTGTATAGAATTCTTTGATGAATCCTTAATCTGTCTGTAACATTAAACTTCCTAAAAAGTAATCACATCTGCTCAAGTCTGCTACTTTATCCCTTTATAAGAAACCACCTATGAGGACAAATTGGGATTACTCTGACATGAGTATTTGTAATGTAACTCTTCTATAATTCTGCTGCTTTTTCTATGCCTTGATGTCCCTAATTACTGTCTTTAATTTTCTCTAAAGTCTACTATAAAATGACATTTAAGTTAAATTTATGTCTGTAGTTGAGTGACTACAGTACAGTTGTTTTGAATATAGATAGTGTTTACTTTTATTCTGTCATAGTGCCATAACTTTACAGATTCATAAAAATGTTTGATGGTAGATTTACAGTTTTTACAACGTTAGTCCTTCTCTGAGGGAGGGGTTTGAAATCCTGAGGTCTGTTCCAACCTAAATTATTTCATCATTCCATGAGCTGCTTCCTTAAGTGACCTAGGATGAGTAATACTTGGATTTCCATGCTCTTTCTAGTTACATTAGACAAGAATGTAAGGTTTTTTCCTCTCTATGGTTAAATAGCAGTATCTTTGCTAGAATTGCTATTAGAATTTTCATGTACTCTTTCTGCTTTGTCAAAAGTTTCTTTTATTTTTAGGCAATGTGCAAAATCCAATCTAACAGTTTTTATACCACTTAACAACACAGCATTTGTATTTTTTCATTTTTCTCTCAGACCTAAGGAATTTTTTGGCTTTTACCTTCAACCTATTGATTTATATTTCATGACATTATTGAAAATAACATGCAATAACATCTCTTTATTCCGCAGCTGTAAATAGTTCTGGGCATGTGCTGTCTATTATATTTAAAGAGTGCCCAGTATATGGCACCCCAACCTCTGCTGCTATGATGTTAATAAATTTACTTTCCCCTTGATCTTACTTCAGAAAGGTAGAGTCATAAAAGGAGGTGTGTTGAGTTAAGTTGAGAATTGAGTTGAAAGTGGTGTAACTGGTAGGAAACACAAACCACCTTAAAATATTTAGTCAAATGTTTATTTCGGGCTGTAGCACATGGAATGTGTAAATAACAGTCCAAGATGAAGTTTTATGATAGTTTGCAACAAGTATTCTTCTCACATCCAACTTAGTCTTCTTCTCTTAGATTTTTTTGAATCATTCAGAAAGTCATAATCTCTGATTTTGCTTATGTCAAACTAAACGAGGTGGACATAGAATTTTCCTGCACTTCTGCATACCTAATCTAATTCTCGGGTTTTTTGCTAGGTTTGAATTTATTTTCAAATGGGCTTTGTAATTCTAGACGTTTCAGGCTGTGTTTGTCAGAATGATAGCGCTAATGTAAATGTGAACTTTGCTCTTTGTGGAAAATAAAAAGTTTGAAAAATGTTAAGGTAAACCAAAAAGTGCTAAACTGGTTCTTACCCAACTTAACACTGCAGGTGTATTGGAGCCTGAAAAAGCAATTTACAGGATTTGAAAAAGAAACAAGTGGGGGCTGAGTGAACAGGGTAAGCGTGAGATTGTAAACTGATTCCTCACAGGTTAGCAGCCAGCAGGGGCTGGGAATCTGTGGCAGTGGCGGAAGGATGCTCTAGTAAAGGTTGCTAGGCTACTGCGAGGGAAGCACTTACGGAGCACTGCTCAGCTATGCTGAGCATTTTTACTACCCAGCTGCTACGTAATCTGTGTATAGTATTGCTGTTTTCCTGGCTACGGGCTGGAAAGGGAAGTTTGAACTGCTAAGAAACATTGTCCCTTTGTAGGATGAAACTTGGTCACATTCCAGTTATTACCTTTTGCAAGACTGACTGTTTTTGGTTTCAGTCACATTGACTGACAAGGAATGTCAGGAATTCTGCTGAACATGTTTGAAATGGAATAGCAAACAATAGGTCTTTGATTCAAGTATAAAAGTATAAAAACTCTTGCATGAATTTAACTTGTTCTGGTGGTGCTGACTGATGAGCTCTTGGTTTATCTGTACCAGTTTGGCCTTCGTTTCTTCTGCTCTGTTAAGAAGCTTACTGTAAAGAGAATGTGGCTTCTCTTTTCTTCATCTGGATTTTATGTCATTTTTGAAATATTTGTAAGAGTGTAATTAATCTGTACCAGTAAAAATGATTTATTGTAATTGCAAATGCAAGGTCATTAGTTTTTCCTCTGCAAGGGAAGGTAATTCTTTATCTGCTTTTTTATTAATGGGTTCCCAGTACTGGGTTTTGCCATACATATGGTTGGGTAACACATGTGTTTATGATTCTTTTTATTTGTAGTTTAACCTTTGATCTTTGTCCCAGGAGGTCATTTTAACAGAAAGTTAAAGCTAACAGTTGCTACCACAGACAGTGACAGAGGAACTGAAAAGTGAATTAAAACTACGGTGTGTTAATAATTATTCCTTTGCATCTGTTATCTTTCTCCTTGTGAGCATTAATACAATAACCCAGTTCTCTTTTAACACAATTTTGTGAAAGTGTATTACAACTCTGCCAATACTGTTGTTACAAACAAGTGAGACATTGAATATACACTGTAGGATGGAACAGCAAAAAAAAGATAATTTACTCTTTAACATTCATGACAGTGCAGTGGATATAACATAGTACGGATTTGATCCAAGTCCAGTGTCCTGTTGCCAGCTGGGGACTCCCAAGGCAAGCTAACTCCCCTGGTATACAGTCTCCCAACTTGTACTGATTTGAGGCCCAGGGATTTCTTGAACTTAAACCCATTTTTTTTACATACTCTTTACGAAGTAATTTTCCATTAATTTTTGTAGGTGCTTTTTAAATCTATGTTAAATAGTAGTATTCACACATGATGCCAAGAATTCCAAAGTTCACCTACCTGTGTGTTGTATGAACAACTGCCACGTGTTTGATTCTTATCTGCTAATTTTGTTCAATGATGCCTGTTTCTTGTGTTGAGAAATGGTGAACAATGGTTACCTACAGCTTTCTTCATTCCATAAGTTTTATTATAGATTCTGCTCTCAGATGTTTCTTTTCCCGGGGAAGACTCCTTGTCTATTAACCATTCCTTGTAGCTGCGAATATGCTGTTTTGGTCTCCCTGGTTTTGTCCTTCTGTGTGCCTCTTTCAGTTCTGTTATGTACTTTCTGAGATGAGTAGGGGCCAGGATTGGGTACAATATTAAGGATGGATTTTATACAGTGACATAATGTGTCCCACTTTGTTTTCTAAGTCTTTCATAAGAATTCTTCAAATTCATTTCTGTTCTACTGCTATTTTTATTGCTTCAGAATCTCATTCCAAGGTGAATACCTTTTTCACAGCCTGTCATCATCTGTGGGATGTTAGGATTCTGGGCTTTCTTAAACTTACGTGCTTTACTTTGCATCTCTTGTGCTAGTGTAGTATCTACTCACACAGTTGCATAAAGAACTCATGACACTGTAGGTGTTCCTTTCTTTTATAGCTTAGAATACTTAGAATTATCAAAAACCTTTTTCATGTTTATAAAAATTGCAGTATTTTCGCAACATTTAAAGTATACAATTATCCGTGCAGTACAAGTTGTATGTGAAATTAGTAACAGGATTGGATATTTTGATTTGATTCCCATTACATGAATTTACAAACTAAATCTTTTGCAGTTTTGTTGCTAGAGAAGATGGAACATGATGACATTTGTAATAAAACTCTGAAGATTACAGACTTTGGTCTGGCTAGAGAGTGGCACAGAACAACCAAAATGAGTGCAGCAGGGACTTACGCATGGATGGCTCCAGAAGTTATCAAGTCCTCCATGTTTTCTAAAGGAAGTGATATTTGGAGGTAAGTTTGTCTGCTGAAGACCGTGCTTAGTAAAATTATGTTGAGGTTTTTTAATGAATTTTTATTTGATTTTTTTTTTAGTGGCTTCCTAGGTTATTGTCTCAACATATGGCAAGCATAGCTGTTCTAAGAAACATACTGATTTCTCATCATCTATTTCATAGATCTTACAATTCATGACTTACAAATTGGTGGAGGGAGAGGGAAAATAACAGAAAAACTTTTTTATTTTTTTAAAGAAAGCAAGATCTCATTGAGAGAAGCCTTTAAAATATCTATTGGTTAATATCCCTAAGTACTTTATCTAGAGTCTTAATCTAAACAGCCATATGTTCTTGATACACTAACGTATGATTGATCTCATATTGTTATCTCTATAACATGTCTGAAAAGTCTCGTTCTGCATAAAGAAATGGGACCAGCCAGCTATTACCTTATATTTCTGATAAATAAAAATAAGAGGCAAACCAGAACTTTGTCAAGTGTTAACTTAAATTAGTGCTATTTTTAGGAATCTAGAATGTCATCGTATGTAAAAGTGAACATCAGATCTAAGTTTTCACATTTATAGAGATTTTGCTACCAGTAGCTGGAGTGAGGATAGTGTATTCAGCACAAAATTGTTTTAACTTACTCTATAATTTGAAAGGTGGGGAACTTCCTATGTTAAACTTGTTAATTTCTTGTTAAAGACATGATTGTGGATCATATACATAATATGGCTCTCAATACTGATGCTATTTTTGAGTGGTGTAGTGTGAGATACATGTATTGTAGAAAGGTTATTTAGCTTTAATTTAGTTCTGTTCTGTTTTCTGTGGGGAAAAGTAGTGATTGCACAATAGGCTCTAAAAGCTTCTGTGCCTCACCCTAAGAAGTCTACATTTCCTTTATTTTTGAAATGTTTTCTCTCTGAAGGATCCAAGATAGCTATTTGGGGAAGGAAGGGAGGACTTTAATCTGTTTTCTCATGCCTTCTTATGCATGTTCTGTGTTGTATAATTCTTAAATAGGGTCCTATTTTGCTTAGATGCCTGATATTCTACATCATGAAGTAATACTTTTGGTATTCTCAGGATGATTCTATATCTGCACTACTGTTTTGTGACACCCGTTTGTCTTGTGTCTGGAACCAATTTTCAGCATTTTGTTTACATCAGTCTGAGTCGATGGCCAGCTGAGAAACATCTTTGGCTTCATTCTTTTTTTCCATTCTTTTTTCCTTTTTTCTTTAATTTTTTTTTCTTTTGCGGGGTGGAGGTTGGGTGTAGGCGTTTCCCTAATCAGCTGTATTCCATGCTTAATTACAGGTCCTGTCCAGTCTTGTTGCTGTGATTTTAGGTATCTGAGGGGGTATGCTTTGGTGCAATTAATTTATATTCTGCTGCAACATTAGTTTACATTTTTGGAACCTACAATATTTCTCTTCTTCGCCTTCTCTCCTGCACGCCTCTCTTGTAAAAATGTAAGTATTTAGCTCAATGATGGACGTCTACCAGGAGAGGTTTTTAAGTAGAAAAGGCTGTGTTGTACAGTATAGTTTAGGCCTTCTTGGCTTCTAAAGATTTTTCTGCTTACTGCATCTTGATCTATTCTGTTGCTTATCTTTACTCTTTCTTTAAAAGAAAAGCAAATAAAGAATACCCTGATTATAGGAGTGGGTTTTATTTTAAGCAGCATTCAGGTTACAAATTTAAGTATGGGCCTCTCTAAGACAAGAAAACAGTATATTTCATAAAAGTTCTAAACTTGCGTTATACATACTAAGTACTGAGTCTCCAAAAGATATCTGCAGACCTATTATTATTTTTTTTTTTAAAAAAAGCAGTCGAGGCTGCTCAATTACACTCACACTTGCTGCTAGTCTTCAGGAATCAGGCAGTGCTCGGAAATGTGGGAGTATTTTCATGCAGAGCCCTTCAGGCTGCATGTTCTCAGGTGTCACCCTAGACAGCAGGACTGGTGCTTTCCAGGCCCTGAATGTGTATCCTCTTGCTTCCCAAACCAGCATTATACTACTGCATTTATTATTCTTTGGCATATGCTTCCAAATTCCCAAACAAGAATTCTGTTCTTTCAGCCCTACCCTTCTATCGATCACTACACAATGTCTTGGTTTTGTGCATGGAGCCTGAAAGTGCAAATATGCCCACAGATTTCCAAGTGCTGATGGTGTACTTCAGCAGTGGTCTTTACGGTAATGCATGCTTCCATTGTACAAGCTCTTGGCAAAGCTAGGAGGCACTTACTGTGCAGCAGAATTACCGGTTGCTTTTGCCTGGGACATTCATATAATTTTGAAGTGATTCATGTAGCAACACTTGGTAACCTCTGCTTTAGAAGATAGGGTAAAATGAACTTTAATTACCTTAATTTTTATCAGCTTTTACAGTATGTAAAAACAGCAAGTTATTGCTGAAATTAGATACAGGAAGGTTCAAATCACATTTGATGGCAGGAGAATAATTTTTTAATAATGAAAATACTTAAAAGGACATCTTTTTGAAAGTGTATTAGTTTTCATGCTTTAAAAATATATAATTGAAGCATATTAGGCCTGTATTTTTGACCTTTTGCTGAAGATGGAAAAGGACATGGCTTTTGCTCTTTCTTTAAAAGCTATTTCTTAGAAGCTCTGACTGTATGCATAGGACAACTGCACATGGACTGGTGAAATTTAATACACAAAGTAGCTACTTCTGTAGTTGAGAGAGTTAGCAAGTAGTTCTTGTCCTAGATAATGATAGAGTAGTACCTCCCGAAAGCTCCAACGTGGCAGGACTAGCCATGTCTCTTGTGTTTTTCCCCACAGTTTTCCCCCCACAGTGCAGGCTCTTAGGACTTGATGTTAAGACTGCTTTCATTAAAAGACATGCTTTCAGGCTATTACTGTGTTGGTCATTTAAAATTTTACAACCACCTCCTTGGCACTGTTGAGAATGATTTAGGATTAAAGGCTTGAATTGTAAATATAACTAAAGCTAACAGTGTGACAAAACTTTTTATAAAAGGTTATTTCTTCTTAGTTACATTGTTCTGCTTCAGAGTTCATGCTAAAATATGTATAGAATAGTCTGAACGAGGGAATTCTTTAAGAACACTATGCTTGCTGAGAGAGTATGACATTTTTACACTTTCTGTAAGCACACAGACGAGATGTAGTTCAGTAGAATTCCTCCATCATGCATAAGATGTACTGTAGGAAGTGTTGTACTCATTATTGTCAGACATACCACTGATTTAAAATGAAATTGGAATTCGTTATTTTATCCTTGAGTATACAAGCGAGTGCAGAGATTAGACTCGAAAAAATCAGGAGGAAATTAAGAAGCCCAAGACTTTTTTATTCTATTTTAATTTTTGGGGGGGAATAGACTGTATTCCTCAGCTTTTGATTAACTGATAGCACTATAAACTTATTAATTTTCCAAGATTTTATGATAGACAAAACTTCTTTGATAAACAGAGTATAGATAAACAAAACACTGCTAATATTTGTGCCGATATTGTGTAGTTTATTGGTTTTATTATTTAAGTGATGTTGTAAGGTCTTGTACAATGCTGAATGACTTATTAAGGAGAAAGTGATAGAAAAACTTAACTAGCGTGCATTCTTCTCCCTGTCACATCTCATGTAGTTGAGATGGTATTTCTGGTACCAAGAGGTGCACAGTAAAGGAAGGGGTACACATGCTGCATGGATTTTTCCTCATGTAGGAGAGTTCAGTCCAGTCCTGCAAAACTTGCAGGTAGTTTCTTCACACACCTGGAGAGAAAGGGCAAGAACAATATTTTGTACTCTGTTTTTTAACCCTTCACTTGCTCACTTTACTATTCAAAAGCAGCAATAGGTTGTCCTTTGTATTCTTGTTCTACATACAGATAGTGGTTCCCTGGCAGGAAGAGAAGGGGGCAGGGGATGGGAATGGGACCAAACCCAGTCATAAAGTCCATTTTAGGCTTACATTCTGGAAGGCATGTAATTTCTGCATCCACAAAAACAACTGTGAAAGCTGTCCATTTCAGTGATGGTGGAATAGGAGCTCTAGAGCAACAGCAGTAAGTGTACTGTCCCAGCCCTTTGTAGAGGCTTGGATCGTTTGAGCAAGACGGGCATCGGGCATACAGACCCAAAGAAGGTAAAAGCAACACCCAGCTCTTCTAGAGCGGAGAGCATAGCAGAAATTCTTGCAATAGGAATTACTATGGTTCTTGATTTCTGTACCTGATGCTGAGAAAAGATCTATTCATGCCACCACCATTCACTGGAGACAATGTTGGTTTGGGCTTTTTTTTTTTTCCTAGTATGGAGAAATTAGTTGTGTGTGTGTGTGTGTAATGACTTCTCAATCTTCTTTTATCTTCTGTGGGAAGTGAAAAGCTAATAGGCCTTTATATAACATACAAGGGATTAGAAATGCAAACTTTTAAAGCAAGCTGGGGCTTTTCTGGTGTTTTTTGTTACTATTATTTAAAAAAAAAAACAACCACATGTACATCTAGGTAAATTGTTGTGAAATGTTTAGAAAGGGGAATGGACTGAATGCTCTGCTGAGGTTTTTTTGGCTTGGTTTGGTTGGTTGGTTTTTGGTGGGGAGGAGGTTGCTTGTTTTCCTGTCATTCAGACTTCTGATTGTGAGATTTACGTGATATTAGCATTTCAATACAAGTGACTTCATTGGCTACATTGTGAATAGGAGTGTGAGCCAGTCTTAGAAGCACATCCAATTTGGTTAATCACTATTAGTGGAAAGGTACAAGATGTCTAAAGTAGAGCTGACTCTTAAAGGCATTTGCCTTTGACATGGGAAATCCTCATGAATTTCAGTACATGGTTGGACAGATACTTGCTTGTTCTTGAGTAAATGATGTGTCAGTAATCATAAAATAACTGTTAAAAAATTACCTTTTGTAGTTATGGAGTGTTGCTGTGGGAACTGCTTACAGGAGAAGTTCCTTACCGTGGCATTGATGGCCTTGCTGTGGCTTATGGAGTTGCTGTAAATAAACTTACTTTGCCCATTCCATCCACCTGCCCTGAACCATTTGCAAAACTAATGAAAGGTACCTATGTTGTTTCTGCCTGTGTATTTAAATAGTGACATTTTGGGGGAATGTATCCTTGCCTGTAATAGTGATGTAGATGCAAAATAAAGCACCTCATTTGATAATGTGCTGTGTGCAAAGTATTTTGTTTGTCTTTACACAGCAATCTGATGTTAGAGACTGTTGAGTGTGTTTCTGCAGAAGTCATACAGTATTACTGTGTACCACATCAGTTCTTCAGTAGTGACAGAGTACTTATTTTTTTTGTTCTGGTTTTACTGATTTCCTTTTACACTCAAAATGCATTAACTTTCATTAACTACAGCATATACTGCAGATCAATACAAGATCAAGATTAAAATTCCAAGGGGAAGAGCTACAAATGCCATTTTTTGTCATTATTCTTCCTGTCAAAAGTGTTTTGGAAATACTTTAGAGAGAAATAAACATTGCTTGCTAATGGCTATTTCCTTGTGTTTAATAAATTTATTTACAAGTATCCCTTCTGTGCAGTACTGCTAGTTTTGCTATTTCAGACCTTAAAGATGAAAAAAATTTGACTATTAATACAGAATCAGTCCTCTGAGTACAGGTAGGTAGATGTCATTTCTGTAAAAGGAAAAGGAACTATGGAAGCCTTGCAGGTAAAGAGAACACATTAGAACTTGAAGTACAGTACTAAGTAACTTGAAATTCATGTAGTTCTTAAAAAATTTCTATGTACTATTAAAAACTGATGGGATTTTAATAAATTCTAGAATGCTGGGAGCAGGACCCTCATATCCGACCATCGTTTGCCTTAATTCTTGAACAGCTTACTGCCATTGAAGGGGCAGTTATGACTGAAATGCCTCAAGAGTCTTTCCATTCCATGCAAGATGACTGGAAATTGGAAATTCAGCAGATATTCAATGAATTGAGGACCAAGGAAAAAGTAAGTTCATTTTTTCAATTGCATGTCAGTGAAGGGAAGGGTATGTGTGTATGCGCATTTACGTGTTACATCAGTTTTGAGCTGTTGAATTGTGGTTTACCAATAAAATACTAGAAACCTGATTTAGTAGTGGAGATAGACTTGAGAGGATAAACTACTTGGAAGAGAGGATTGACAGGAAGCTGAATGTTATTGTAGTGAGTGTTAACATATGAATGGTTTATTCAAGAATTACAGGCAGTTGAAACAGAAACATACCTTCACCTGTCTCCCCACATGAAACAGGCTGTAGATCTGTAAATGTGGTATGTAGGCTCTTTTTAAAATGTGTTATTTTTATCTTGGATACTTGAATATATCCCTTAACAAACAAGCCAGAGTTTATTTACCCTTTAGCTAATCTTTATAACTATTACAAATTCTCAGCTGCAGCTGAACATCCTCCTCAGCTGTGGGAGTGAAAAGCTTTTCATCCTGTTATATGATTGTATCATGTGGGTTTTTTCCAAAAATGAAATATTGCTTTTATCTCTCTTCTTCCTGAACAGACTGATAATATTTATCTTTTTCAGTGTTGCAGTTTTGGAAAACTTCTTGCCATATATTATTAAGATTGATTAGGTCAAACTTGTACTCATGAATCAGCAAATCCAGTTTCTCTCTTATCCAGATTCCTGTCACTGATCTTTCCATATTCTCATGTAATGATATGTTTGTGGTAAATGAGTGCTCAATGTTAATTCTCTTTACCCTCTCTTTTAGTTACTTCAGCTAGTTTTTAATCACCCTGAGGTTTATGTTTTCCTTTAGACAACTTGATAAAGATAGCAGTTGGAATAGGCCAGGTATTCTCTTGAGTTCCTGTTAGAAGTGCTTCTGGTAGAAACAGATTCCTTCTTTGCAGGTCAGTCTTGCAGTATAATTACTGCCCAGTACATATTTGTTGTTATTTTTCATTAAGTGGTAATAAATGAAGAAGAGAATTGAGATGCCATGCCTTGTGGAGAAGTCTTTATAAAAGATGTATTCACTTAAATTTGACAAAAGCAAAAACTAAACTCTTGTCTTGCAAGTCACTGTCAGTAGCCTTTGTCTTTCACTGCTTCTCACCAAGAGCCACAACTGTCTGTTTGTGGACTGCTGGCTGGTGATGGGTCTGACATAACAGATCTACTGTAATATCAGCATATGCAGTATCGGAATTTATTGATCACCCTGAGATTGCAGTATTGTCGATAATGATCTTACATACTTCCTATCTGCCTTTTCTTCTGCCCTGTGCTTTTCCCTCTTCCATTTCGGTGCACGGAACTGGGTCAGTGTTGTCTGTGTGCTCTCTGTCCTGCCTGCAGTGAAGATGCAGGTTGCTGGAGCTGGGCTGTGTGCCTCTGTAGCTGTCAGATCTCTTCCTTTCCAGGTGGGTTATAGTCCCTCTACAGGGAGTAGAGACTTTCCTTTTTACTTGCCATGGGGTCACCAGCCACTGTGTTTACCTGCCACAGCCTACTATAGGGCATAACTCTCTTTTCTGCCTCTCCAGCAACTGCTCAACCAACCATTTCCCCCTTTTTCCTTGGGGAGCAATTGTAACAGGTGTTCCCATTCAGGTTTTTGTTTATTTTTTTTATTTACTGGAGGCATTAGTCCAGTATGAGATTTCCTATTGAAAAAAATCTGACTAAATAAAGTTTAGGATTAAATAAGTCATTGAAAAGCTTTGGGAGAAGAATCATATTTTTGCTGTAAAAGTGAGTTAAGCTTAATTAGGTAGAGGAAAAGATAAAATAAAATTTACTTCTCATATGCCAAAGTAAATGCATCTCCAAAGGCATTTGCCCTAATTAGGTAAAATTGTTTAAGAATGAAAACGTAAATTTGACTTGGACAAGATTTTCAAATGTGCAGTCTTATTTAATTTGGCACATTATCAATTTTACTGTAAGGTACTAGGGAGAAAGTAATGTCTATGAAGTATTTTATATAGTAATAATAAAACAAACAAAAATGCCCTGCATGGAGTCACATGCCCTGTTGAAGAGGAACTTCTGTAGCTGGAGGAATTTCCTCAAGGGCTTGCTGTAAATGAATGATGGTAACGCCCACTCCAAGAGAAGATCACAATCTTCTTTTGACAAACGTTCTTGAGCAACTTAAGTATAGAATTCCTTCATAGCTTCCTTACAATGGGTGTTTTAATTGTAGAGTGGTGTAGAAACATTGCATAACTAATTGCAGTAAGCCTGTTTTTAATTAGTTTATTTGGAAAAGAGTAAATACTTAATCTCTCAGTGAGGAAGCACTATTAATTTTTCTAGTCTGACTACCTTTTCAATATGGGCACTCAATTTTTCCCTAGTTACTGAGCTTTATGAAACTTGGATTTGAGGACAACAAGAGATGGATAATCAGTGTATCCTAATACATCTTTATTACTATACTAGTATAGTAATTGTAATACTGTATTTTACTAATTTATATTACTATACATTACTATACTAATATAGTAATAAAGATCTTTTCTACTTAAACTCTAAAGTACCTTTATTCTAAATTTGAACTTGTTCAGTTTCTGCTTCCAACCCTTTTTTTAGGTTGTTCAGTTTTGACTGGATGGGAGAAAGAGGAAAGTGAGAATTTGCAGCAATCCTTAAATTAATTATCTTAAAAAAAACACCACAACAACAAACAAACAAACAAGAAACAAAACAAAAAACAAAACCTTATTTGCTGGTGTAAAGATAGGCGCCTTCTGAATTTCCAAGAGGCAGAATTGCCTTTTGCAAAACTGTGCAATAAGCAGAGTGAATTTAAAACAAACAAACAAACAAACAAAAACAAACAAAAAACAAAACCAAAACAAAACCACAAAGCAGTAAATTTTTTCAAATATTGTGTTGAAACAACCTCTCTCAAAATTAGCAAACCGTATGAAATTTGTCAATCATTTCAATTAAATTTGAAAGTAGCAATAAGAAGTGTGGCTATGTTGTAAAGGAAAAACAAGTATCTTTCCTGAGGGACAGATAATTCTCACTGAAACAGTTTGCTTTAGTGCTAACCTGTCTTTTGTCATCCATAGTCTTTTTGGCAAGAACAGAGAGGTTTTTTCCCCTCATTTGAACACACCAAAGTAGTATAGTTCAGGAACTAATTTAATCAAGACAAAGCAGGAGTTAAAGAGCAGAAAAATTGGGGTTTTTTTTTTTTGCTTTCACTGTATGTGATAAGCAGTTGTGCTGGCATACAACATTGCTGGATACCGATGAGAATAATTAGGCAGTCTGCTCTGGAAAATAAATTTACACCACAATTATTAAATTGTACCATGACAAAAATAATGCATTTTAAATAGGAATAAGATTCTTATATTTACAGAACTTTTAGCTTAATTTTAAATGCTGGTTTTCTATTTTGAATTGAATTTCAATTTCTATCTAGGTAGAATTTACACAAGTGTACGTAACAATTTAAAAATTATGTAGTGAAAAACATACAGTATCACTCGCATTGTAGCTTCTCCTTTTCCTGTAGTCTCTTTTATTGGCAGTACCGACTACAACACTCCTGGGTAAGTCTGTTTCATGTATAATACACCCCAATCTATGAAGGGAGGTCTACTAAAATTTCAGATATATTAACAGATTTTGGTAGGTGAAGATTAAGATAATTTTAAGATGGTAAATTTGTACCTGTTTAGCCTTGGGGATTTTTTTACTCGGAGAAATTAACTAGCTTCCTTACTAAAACTTCTCCATCTCCAATATAGAAAATAATAAAGGGAGAACAACAACTACTCTATGGGATTGATGGTTGGAAAGTCTACGTGGTACAATTCAGCGGTTAGTAGCAGTTTGATGTTATGCAGATACCTGCTAGATTTTAATTAAGAAACAGCTGTCTTCTGCCTTATGACTTGGTTTATCCTGTTACACTAATCCTCATCCGGTGTAATACTGATTGCTTTTCTAGATAGAAAAGTGCTACTTAATACATGGCTGAAAAACAGGAAAGGTTAGAAAATTTAAGATAAAGGCATTCATTTGTGTATTTGTCAGGTCCTTGACTTTCTGCTAGTGCAGAGGAGCTATCTAAGAGCACCCCTCATGCTATGAAAGTCTCTGATGTGAAGTAGTTGGAGCATGTTTTCTGTTAGGCTGTAAACTGATAATCTTTGGTTGGATGCATTGTCCCTGTTGCTCATACGTAGGCTCCTTAAGTAAAATGACTCAAGTTAAATGATTGAAAGGAAATTTGTATAATGCTTGATTGAGTCTGGATACAGAATCTTGGTTTATGCAGGACATAGGACTGTCAGAAGGCCATATGTGCATCATGAAAATAGATCAGGAAATAAAGCCTACTCTGCACTTTATATATCCTTTAATACAAACTTCACATTATTACTTAGTTTCACTTGTGTGGATCTTATCTTCAGGAGCTTCGATCACGAGAAGAGGAGTTGACAAGAGCAGCTCTTCAGCAAAAATCTCAAGAAGAATTACTTAAGCGCCGTGAGCAACAGTTAGCAGAACGTGAGATCGATGTATTGGAGCGTGAGCTGAATATCATGATATTCCAGTTAAATCAAGAGAAGCCCAATGTAAAGAAGAGGAAGGGCAAATTTAAAAGAAGCCGCTTAAAACTTAAAGATGGACACAGAATTAGTTTGCCTTCAGGTTTGCAATTTTTTTGAAGTTCACAATATATATTACGATTAAATACGCAGGATTCAGTTCCATGGTTGGTGTTTTCAGTATTGGCTACTATTTTAATTCATTGCCAGGTCCTTCTACCCTAGTAGAGCAAAAGGGTGTGGTAAGAATTGTATAGTGCCCTCCCCTGCCCCCCCAACCTTTTTTTTTTTTTTTTTTTTTTTTTCCCCCCTAAGGAAGCAACTTTCATGTTTCATGTTCTTGTGGAATAGTCCTCATTTCAGCTGGAAGAATCTTTCACCTGATTCAGGTAGAAGTCCATTGTGTCTGGAGGGAAAGGTTACTAGGATGGGATCCAAGTGTTTAAAGAGTGTTTTGAAGTTCAGATTTTTCCTATCATCTTTTTTGTGCAGATATAAAAGTACCTTTTTATCACATCCCAGAACTTTCGAACATGATCAAATGTTAGTGCTGTTTGCCGTAAGCTTGCAAATACATAGTAGAAAACCAACACTTCATAATGGCTGGAGGTACAGGTGTGGTACGTCCGAATTCCATGCTTATTGCAGTCACAAAATACAGCACAGCGGTTAAAATCTTCAGTGCCTTACTTCTTCTAAGAAAACACTGTGTAATAGAACAGAAGATATTACTTCAGTGTGCAAGTATGGTATCATATGAATGTTAGAGTGTTTAATTCCACCCGTGAACACATTAAAATTCCCCCTTTACGGAGGAGGTGTGCTGTACAGAGTCGGGGTTTTTTAGTGTCAGGGGCTGCTTTAGTGGTGCCTTTTTAATGTTGCCACGAGATGGCACTACAGAAACTCAAGGTTCCACCAGTGGTTGGAAAGCCTTCAGTAGAGGTACCAGCATCCTGCTGTTCATAGGCTTCCTTCCACTGGCTTCCAGGTCAAGTCTGTCAGTTTATTACTAATGCAGTAAGAACTGAATGCCACGCTAACATAGGTCTGAGGATATCATAGATGTCTGGTAGATGGAAAGAGAAAAAGAGGACAGTAATATTTAAAGTACTATTTCAGCACTTGTGAAATAAGCTTATTTTAACTTTAACAATAACAGTAAATAAAATAAAATCACACTACAGCCTCCCAGACAGGCATACGAGATTGGGTTATGCTGGATCACAAGCTTAAACTAAATATTTGGTCCTTTGTTTCAAGTTCTTCTCATATTTAATTTGAAAAAGTGATAGAATAAACAGTTTTACTCAGAATACCACTTAGCTCTTTGTCAAGAATCATCCAGATGAACTTGTATTTGAGACAATTCTGTTGTAAGAATAGCATGCAATCTAATCGCACTGATGATGGGGATTAGAGAGGGAAATAAATTTTATTTCATAATTTTTTTCCTACTTGCAAATATTTGTTCTTGACTACATTTCTATAAATATTTGTTTTTCTGTAGTTTGGTGTATTGTTTTTCTGACATGTTAATAGATGTGAATTTCTTGTTAATGATACTTTTTATGTCGTGTATGAATTAGATGTTAAAAAAAAAAAGGCAAACTTGATTGCCATGAATATTGATTGGTTTAAGATGAAATATTGAGATTTTTCGTTCCCTGTGGAACAACCAACAAGATTGAATGATGGCTTGTGATGTCTATGTGTCTCAGTTTGGGTCTACTTGGACCTACCTGCTGTTGTTGGTGTTACTGCAAACTATCATATAGTGTCTGTAAAGGTGTGAAATCCTGCCTGTGTGACTCAATATCTAAATTATTACATTAAGAATTAGTTTGTCAGTGGTTTTAATATGAACATCTCTTACACTACCAATTCTAATTCATTACATAGCTTTATTTTTTTTTAAGTAAAGCAGTATAATCTGCTCAAGATTTTTTTATTTGGAAAATTAAAACTGATTTGTTTTACAGATTTCCAGCACAAAATAACTGTGCAAGCATCCCCGAATCTGGATAAGAGGAGGAGTTTAAACAGTAACAGCTCTAGTCCATCAAGTAGCCCCACAATAATTCCTCGGCTTCGAGCTATACAGTGTAAGTCTCCACCATTTCTATTTGTTCATTTGGTCAACAGAGACTGGTTGCTCCATACACTCACTGAAACACTGGTCGTAGTATCAGATTCCAGAGAGATTTCTGTCTGATCTACAGGTTCCTTAACTTGTTTTAACATTTACAACTTGTTCTTTGATGGAAGGGATAATCTTGCTAAAACGTTAACTAATTTTCATTAATTCAAAACGACTGTGAATGCTTTAAATCATATATTTCCTTAATAACTTCAGGAATTAATCTATAAACTAACTAGGATAAAACAGTGAAGAATGAAAATTCATAACGGCAAAAGGTAAAGTGTCACATTTAGGACCCATGTAAGATGGAAAAAAAGTTTTTATTCGGTATTGGAGTTGATAAAGGAAATCAGTTATGGTCTATAAAAAAAAATATATTCAGAGAATGAGGGAGTCATGGAGTCATGTAAGATGGAAAGGTTGAAGAATCAGCCAGCAATCCAGCTTGCTTATGTTAAAAGAGAAGTAAGCTTTAAGCAAATACAAAGACAGAAGGAAATAAGAAATCTAGCTTTAGGCTTTTTGAAATCAAGAGAAAGAAAAGATAAAAAAACCCAACTTGTGGGTATGATTGTAGGCCTACACTATTCTCTGTAGTGGAGGTATCATGAATATGGGAGAAAACTGATCATATTATTACAGTGAAACCCACATTTATATTTGGGAATGATATGTGTAGAGTTAGGAACAGGATTCATACAGGATTTACTGCTTGCATTTGTACTGCCTGATCTATTGTGCAAAGTAGATTGTCTAATTATCCATATTTAGTGTGGAATGCTACGTGGCATGAAAAAGCCTCAAGTTTTTCTCTCTATGTGAAATCAGTGGAACCCGTTCCAAGTGATTGCCCATGGACTGTGACTGTCTTCTCATCCGAGAGTAGTCACTTCTGAAGGAAATTACTTCAGAATCTGGCCTTATCAGATGTAAATGAGGAGGATGCGAAATCAGAATGCATGGGGATTTTTTTTTTCTGTTTGCTATTCTGTAGCTAGTTTAAAGATATTTTTATTCTTTTTTTTTTTTTTTTTTTTTTTTTTTTTTTTACCAGCCTGAAAATTTGTTTAAAGTTTGGATAGAAACTGGATATCTCATCTCTTCTGGAATACCTCTGTCTTATGAAATCCTTTTCATTATTAGTGTCTAAAGGAGAAGTGATGTCTTTTCTGGCAGTAACTTTATTATTTGCTTGAACTGTAACTAATACAGTTCCCTGAGTGAAGGCCGTTACTACCCATATGTTGTGGATAAAGGAGAGAGATGGACAAACCGCGTCTTTCGTAATGAAAATTTGAGATGGAAGGAAAATGATATACAGTGTTTTTCAGAAGTTATCTGACACAGTATCTGTGTTGATAATGGTTTCCTGATTTCATACTGTTTGGTGGGGTTTTTTGGTTGGTTGTTTTTTTTTTACTGCACTAAGGCAAGAAAGGTTTTTCTTAGTCAAATGTCATAATTACACATAAACAAGACTGTCTCATTTTGATTCTCTTTGCTCTGTATGGAAATGCTTGGAAACGAAGCAAGTGACAGGTATTGTCATGATTCTGAACACTTGAGGGTTGGGTTTGGTTTTTTTTTTTTTTTTCAAATGTATATCCTTAGGTAAGCTATAGCAGTGCCACTCCTTGCATGTGTGATAAATGCCACTGGGGATTCTTCTTTTCTTTTTTTTTTATTTGAACAGGCATTTGTATTTGTAGGACTAGAACATACAGGACAACAGAAAGGCTCTCCTTTAAAAGAAGTACCCTTCTGTTTCTGACTTTGGATCCCTAAGCTTTACCTAAAAGTTTATCAGATCTCTCAGGAGTATCTAGCTGAAACAATTTTGCTTCCACACCCATCTGCACCTGTGCAAAATAAATTCTCTTTCCCACAATAATGTTTTATCTTGATTTAACTTCAAAGTGTCTTTGTTTCAAGAAGACTTGCTGAAATACAGATGATTTGAACAGGCGTATCTGACAATTGGTTACTTGATTGCTTCACTTTGTCATGAGTGAGTCAAGCTTCCAAATCTAAAAGTTTTTTAAATAAAAAATAAAAATCTAGTTAACTGTAAATCTTGTTATTAAAACAAATTCAGCTGATTTAGAAAGGTTTTTTTAAGGGAGGAGGAAAACCAGTAAGATATATATTCCATAGGTCCTGGAATGTGGTTGAAAATGGGAGTGTAAAGAAGGGAAGTGCCGTGCTGCAGGGGAAGCCGTGCTGGCGAGGAGGCGTGCGGTGAGGCAGGAGGACAGCACTGTGCAGTGGGGCAGCGGCAGAACCACGGGCATGCAAACACACCTCATCTGTCACGCTGTTATAACTGGCAAAGTTGTTTTTCTCTTAGGTGTCTCCATCATAGCTGTAAGTGTGCTACATTGATAGCAAGTTACTTTTCCAGTTAGTCAGTCATCTACGAAAATCTACTTGCCTGAGTCTGGTCCTAAAAAGAGGATCCTCTAAACCCTACAGAAAAAAACTGCTATCTCAAGATCCTTGGTGCATTTATAGATATGGGCTTTATGTCCCAAAGATGAAAATATAAGGGAAACAGTTCCATTTCTGAAATCTACTTGACTAAGATCTCTACTACATTCTCTTAATTTTTCCTCAGTGATTCCCAAAACAGATACACACACAACTAATGGCCGAAGAAACAGTGTATATGTGTACCAGCAAGATGTAGATATCACAAGTGAATATGAACTTCCCAGTGGGGTTATGAAAAAAGGCAAGATTTCATTATGTTTCAAAGGTGCTGGTTCTGTTTAATTTAACAGTTGAGACAGTGACAGACTAAGCATTTAATGAAGGGTTAGACACTTTAAAAGTATAATTTGTTTTGGTGTAGTGAGAAGGAAAACACTAATTACAGTCACAATTGGAATATTTTGTTTCATTTTATACCAGTTGTTCCACAGCATTTCTTTTTTTCATTGGAATTTAAGTGCTCAGTCTAACTCACTTGTCTGAATTACCTGAATATAAGGTTCTTAGTTAAAGGAAGCATGGAAAATATGATTGTTTTACTGCTTTATCTTTAATTTGGGTCTCTTGGCAGCTCATAAATTATTTTTCTTGCTTGTTCATCTTTTTGGATCAATGCAGTTTGAGTGGTGGGTTTTGTAAAAGAAAAAAAATCTCAAATTTTGTCTACTTCTCATTGTGCTACTGTGTCAAAATGGTTTTGCAGTTGAGAAAATATTCTGTTTTGTCAAAACATTTTGCTTTTAGGAATACTATTTATGACTGGGGTTTTGTTTGTGTTTTTAAATCCAATCTCTAGTAACTTCAGATGAAAGCAACAAAACTTGGGGAAGGAGCACAGCTTTTCACCAAGAAGAGTTTGAAGATGTGAAGAGAAGTTTTAAAAAGAGAGGTTGTACCTGGGGACCAAGTTCAGTTCAAACAAAGGATCGTGCAGATTGTAAGGACAAGTATGTCTACTACATTTTGTTTGTTTGATAATACTAAGTGTTCTTCGTAACTGAATCACTAACATAGGTAGTGAGTAAGAGAAGTTCTGCAGTCTCTAGTTTACAGCTAAAACTGAGTGCTACCTTTCAATTAATTTAGGAATTACGTTAATAATGAATAGCTTCCCCATATAGGCTTGAGAATAAAAAGCTTACTTACCTTATTTAGTAGCTTTTATCAGTTACCCTTTATCTCTGGTTTTTGAGGCTTGGAATATGCTGGGATGCTGAGCTACTAATGCATACCAGACGTTCACAGCTTCTCTATCTTTCTTGCCTTTCCTAAGATGGACTTGGGGAACTGCAAGCATGGCCCCCAGTGGGCACTCCCAGTATGATTACCTAAGACTGATTGACTTTGCATAAGCAAAGCAAAATTCACACCAGCAACATCATTTACACTGACAAATACAGGGTGAAGCAGTTCTGAAAATCAGTTGGACGCCTTCACTTTCAGATTATTTTTTCTGATTGTTCAAAACTGGAGATTAGCAGTTTTTCTGAAGCAATAGATCGTTTTCCTTGTTTCTTCTAGTATATATAATTATTTATAGCACCTTTTTTTTTTTTTTTTTCTTGATAGAGACATCCACTCATTTACCTGCAGCAGCAGTTGGTTCCAGACCATCTATTGGAACTGGCTTTGTAGTATTTTTGTTTGTTTTAAAGTCACTGTTTCATAAATTCCCAATATTCACATAATTTCTTTGACACAGTGAAACTGTTGTCCAGGTTTTCACCAACTTTTGTTCTTCAGTGGGTAGTCAAGGCCTAGTTTTCATTGGCTCTCTTAGACCTGAAATTTTAATCCTCTAAAGAATACCCAATACAAGACATGTATCAATTTATAACTATATGACTGTGCTATTATTTACAGGGCTTTTTTTTTAACCTTTGGAAAGCCTTACTGTTCTCAAATTACATACTACATGGTTATAGTTTAAAAAAAGATGGTTTAGCAATTTTCTATTCAAGTGTATATAGGCATGATATTTTCTATAATATCAAAATAACTACTGTTATTTCAGAATAAGACCCCTTTCAGATGGCAGCAACCCTTGGTCAACCCTTTTAATGAAAAATCAGAAGGGTGTTCCATTAGCTTCACTATTTGTGGACGAAGGTAAGAGCTGTTTTTCAAAAAGTGAGTTACCTTATAGTGGCATTAAGTCTACCTCCAGTGTTATAAATTCTATTGCTTTAATTTCTCAAGGATTATGCAGATTGTTAGAAAAGTAGTCATGCTACTGTGCAAGAAAAAAACTATCTATAAAAAAATGCAAGTGTTAACATCTTTAGATTTCCACCATTAGCAGCTAAGAAATATACTTGATGTGTGAGCAGTACCACATGGAGATTTCTTCTTTTTCCACGTTTTTGGGTTGCAGGCTGATCTGTAATTGAGGTCCGCAGTCACCACTTTTTAGTTTCTTTTAAAAAGAAATAAGTAAATCAGTCTTGAAGTTTAAATGATCATTAATGATTTTTATTGTTAGCGGGCTCTGCATAGTTGTTTAAAAACGCAGAGTTGTTTAAAAACCTGTAAGCCCTGATGTATTCCTAGATATTAGTTCCCTGGTTTTTAAATGAGACTTATTCTCTAAATTTTCAAGAAAAAATAGGGAGATTTCAAGTCTTAAAGTTGTTTAGGCAACATTTTGGGATTTACAAGTAAATCACAAGGAAAAACATACTTAATCCTCTTAGGATCAGGAACATAATAGCTGTATGTTGCTTTATATGTCCATTACTATAATGTGCTGTGGCTATACAGTATTCATAATAATTTTAAAATTTGCACACTATACTACAGATTCTCATATATATACTAGTAAGGGTATAAATCAAGGTTTCACAAATAGAAATTTTATAGATTTATTAGCTTACTACTAAACCTCTATATACAGAGAAGATTATACAAGCTTACATTTCAAATATTTCTGTGTTTATTGTATAGCATTCAGTAGTTTACAGTAGAATAGCACATGCAAGTCCAATTATACCTTCCATTTTATTTCTCATTAGGTATGAGAAGTCAAATTTACTTTCTACTCTAGACCACCATGGCCTAATGAATTAATTGTAAAAATTTATAGTAACTCACTGGATTTTGGAACATGGCTTAACTGAAAGTGTTGTAAAGAATGCGTTCCAGATCTTATCTGGCAGTTTCTGTATAGTAAATTACTGTAATCCACACACAGAAATGTTTGCCATGTTATTTGAAAAGCATTACTGAAGTGTTGCAAATCCTCAAATATCACAGAAACTGCAAAGACAATATCTGCTCTTCAGCTGTGTTGAATGCATAAAAGTTGGGAGATACATTATGCCTCTCTTAAAATAAAGGTAAGTCTTTCAGATGTGGAAAAAATAGTTGTTTGCAGTTAACTTGTATACTCAGGAAGATTGATCTGCAAGTTGCTTCTAATAGAGTTTGCTTCTGAGTTGCTAAAAAGATGAAAATATAGCAAAATGGTACTTTTGCTATTGTAAGGACTATCAAGAGTATATGAAGGGGATTTAGGCTTAGGATGTATTTCTGAATCTTACAATGTTGCATCTCTGAGCTTCTGACTGAATCCAAAGGGGGTGTGCAGAACACCTCAAGATTAATACTTGTGCAAGTGAAAGGAAATAATGGTGTACATATGCAGACATGCAATAGAAAAATAGCTGAATTGCAATCTTAAAGTATACTGTAATGTTTTATAGGTGTCTGTACTGATAAGAAACTTCTCCCTGAAGGTTTGGACAGTAAAAGACCAAAGCCAATTAAGTTGCCGAATCAGGCCTACATTAATCTACCTCTTTGGAAAGATGATCAGGGTGAGAATACAGTAGAACATGAGAGCTTTGAAGAAGGAACCTCTGCTAGCTCTACAAACAGTACTCCTCAAATGACACCTACAAACAGTCTAAGCAGGACGCTGCAGAAAAAGAAAACTGATTCGGTGCTGTATGGGTGTGCTGTCCTTCTTGCATCTGTTGCCCTGGGCTTAGATATCAGAGAGCTGAACAAGACGACGGGTCCAGATGAACTCTTGCCTAAAGATGAGAAGAAGAAGCGTGATGGAATATTTCAGCGTGCTTCAAAATTTCGCAGGAGTGCTAGCCCTACACGACTGCAGTCCAAGAAAGAGGAAACAAGTATTCCATCCCTAAATCCAGCTGCAAATACTGTGAATCTTCTCTCTATGCCCTCCATTTCCACAAAATGCCTACTTCAGTCTGACAGTGAAGACGCCCTTATAAGCACTGTGGTTGGTGACTGCGGTCCATATAGTTCCACAGATGACTTCTCATCTGAAACCTGTGAAAGTAAGAGAGAACAGAGGTTAAAGTTGGCTCCTAACACAGTTTCTACACAATTAAAACATCAGCCTTTTAATCTTTGTCTGAAACAAGAATCTCAAAATGTGCCAAAAGATTCCTGGATGAAGTTAAGTGTGTTGGGTCACAGACGAGCCTTATCAGATGGGAACGATTTTCAGACCACAGGTGGGTAGTTAGGAATTTAAAATGTAGGGGATTTTAAGTATAGAAACAGAAAATGTAGGGAAACCAACCATTCACTAATGAGTTGCTAAGATTTTTTGTTACACTGTTATGTATTAGCTGAGCCGCCATACCTGTATGTGGGTAAGCCCTCTGTGTCTGAATCCTAAATAAACTGCCTACGCTTGGATTAGTACCCTCTTAAGGAGTGTGGATATGAAGATTTAAGGGGAAGAGATGGTTCATTTTAAGGAGAGATCTATTTTTCTCAGGTATTGCAAAAATAGGCTTCCCTAGTCTTTTCATATCAGCAAGAAGCTGCTTTTTGTGAAATGTACAATACTAGCATTATGTCTGAAATAAACTGAGACCGTGTCAGGTGCATGCATTGTGTAGTTGTGGACTTCCTGAGACTGGGAGTACAGTTGTTTAATAGTTTCACAGACCATGTAGGTGAGTGAACATCATTTTAGTACTGCACATTTATTAACTTCAAGAAAAACAAGTCTGGTAAGTTTTTGTTTGCTTGCTTGACCTAGGAGTAATGTCACATGTTCTGCAAAGCCTTAAGTTAAGCTGTTGATAAAAATTTAAGCTGAAAAAAAAAAGTCTTTAAATATGGTTTCCATGTAAACAGATAAGTTCTAAATTTAAATACTGATATTATATGGTGGCTTAAATGAAATATTCTTCATGGTACTCTATGCATATGCAATTAGTCATAATAACCAGACAAATTTGGGGGGCTTTATTCCACTATTAAAATGTATCCAGTTATGGGTGGTTAATGCATTCTGTCTGCATCTCTCTTGTAGCAGTAAAAAATAAATGGTTATAGCCTCTAGCAGAGAGTATAGGTGCAAAATCTTTTTGAGCACTGCTGGTCCTCACTTAGGAGATTGTCCACAAACATATGAGCCTCTTAATTTTTCTGGAGGAATAAAAGCTACTAGTGTTTATGGCAACCTAGTTTTACAAATGGCAAAGAAATCAAGAAGTTACAAAAAAAGACAATTTAAACCATGTTTGGCCTTTCCTTCCCCTAGCTAATGGATTCACTTCAACCAGTGATGTCTCCCCATTACCAGTTCTGTCAGTTACTAGAACTCTGCACTCTCCATCTGTTCAACAACGAAGCAATCACAGTGGTGTTTCAACTGAAAAGCAAAGCACTATCAATATTATATCAAGGCCTCGACCTTCTTCTCTAAGAAGTAAAATCGATGCATGGCAGATTATTCCACGTATTATTAAACCAAACTCTAAAGACACTGAGTATTTAGAGGGCAATGTAGATCCAGATGTTAACTTCTTGGCAGATACTGAGGAAAGAACTAACTGCCACATGCCCTCATTACTTGATATTGATGTGGAAGGTCAAAACAGAGACTGTACTGTGCCTTTATGTAGAATGAAGAGCAAAACTTGTCGGCCTTCTATATATGAACTGGAGAGAGAGTTTCTGTCGTGAGTGCCTTTCATTTTAAAAATGTTTGCTTTTTAAAGGGGAACAAATGTAAAATTCTTGTCCATCTAATGCTTTGTGCTGCTGTTTTCTGATGTACTGTGACAAATAGTACCAAAATCATTAAAATGGGCAGCTAATAAAGAAAGTGTAGTAGGTGCCTTTTTCAAACATTCCTTGGAATCCTAGCTAGTAACTCTAAAAGCACAATGCTGCAAAATCGTATTCTACATGAACTTCATAAGCTTATCTTGAATTACTAAAATAATATGCACACCTCCCTCTGCAGTGTCACAGAAGTTTTCCTTAGATTTGAGAGGCTTTGCTAGAAATTCAAGATTTGCACATTGAAAAAGTGAATGTCATACAGTAAGTTTGTATTCTGTCAAGAAGAGTTTCATCTAAGTGGTTGTTTGCATCTTGCTTCTGTGGCCTGTAGAATTAGTGAGGGGTTCAGGGGATTTAATGTGCTGGTGCAGGAGGCTCTGTTCACTCCTCATTAAGGAGCTGGTTACTTTTTGGCATTTGATACTGAAATTGGTTAAGGACCAACAGCTGAATTTGCAGTCTTTGCCCTTGGTTTTTGTGCAAACTTTGAACTGTGTGCATTAGTTTCTCCAGAAAGTTACACTGCTTGTATAAACACTTAGGTTTCAGCCACCATATTGATTTGAGAGGGTAAACTTTTAGTATTGAAATTGGATTCAAAGCATTTGACATACTTTATAATGTGAAGCAACATTCCTTGTAAGTAAGGATACACTGGAACGTAAATATTTGTACTCAAGCTTTTGAAGACTACAGTGTTTGCACTGAAAACAATATTCTTGGATTGGGATTTTTTGTTTGTGGTGGAGGGATTTGCCCTTTTTGTTTATTAAACTCTGATGCACCTTGTATTGAGGAAAGATGATGGGTTTTAAGTATAATTGGTATTGGTTTTAAGTGAGCCAATGGTGTGTTTTACTGCACTCAAATTTTAAAACTGCGGTAATTTAATATTAAATCTTTCAGTATAATCTCTGCAGTTTTTCTTCCTAATGTTACTACTGAGTGCCCAGTTATTCATCTTTAGGAATTAAAGGACAGAAACAGTTACGCTTAACTGATTTTCAGTGATAGAAAGGTTTCAGAAAATTCCAAGTAGTTAATTGTGGGGTGAGGAACATTTAACCTTGATAACACTGATAGTTTAATTTTTTACAGTATCACTTACTGATTAAATAAATCCAAATATACGGTATGCTTTCCCTGGTGAAAGCATTTCTAGAATTAAAGGAATATCCCTGATATTTCAGTATTTGAAGTCCTAATTTTAAATATCATTTGACATTTAAATAGTATTTATAAATAAAATTAGATCAGATTAGAATAAAACTACTGTGTTTCCATTACAACACTCTTTTGTTGAGACCTTTGTTTTAAATGTTTTCTTCTCCTTTACTCTGGGGTCTGGGAGTTAAGTTGTTAAATAGAATATACAATTGCTTAAAGCTTCAAAACCAAGAGATTAAAAAGGGAAGTTTCTGTCCTAAGACTGATATATGCAGTACACTGGCTACCCTGAGGATGACAAATAATTAAACACAATAAAATCATGAAGTCTCGATCAGACAGAGCAGAACATAGAAAATACAACTTCCCAGCTCTCAAAGTGAAAATAGAAAAGGATTTCCTTAAAGTATTAGTTTACCAAAAGTAAAAACATAACCACTGGTTATCTGTAAAACTAAATGCCTGCACAGCAGATCTGTAAGTTATTACACTTTGTTCAAACATATTTCTATTTCAGTATTCTTAGTTCTTTGTTAACATGATTCAAGTTGCATACTGTTCTTTGTCTTTACTTTAAACTTTATTTTCATCGGAATACTTTAATAGATTAAGTCTATTCCAGCTTTAATACAAAATGTTTTCATAAAATAAAGTCAATTAGATAATGCACATGGATTAAATTGTAAGTGTAGTTTGATAGCAGATTTATCTTCAGGGCTTAATTAGAATTTTGCAGCACTATATGTATTTCAATTCTTGATTGATTATTCCTATGTAATACTGAGAGAAAATGAGTTGATTGTACTACATCTTTCTGAAGAAAGTATCTCTGGCTTTCTACAGGAAAATCTCAGGTGCTGAAGTGTTTTGATTTGTAAACGTCTGTTAAGTTCTATTCTGTACTTTTAAGGTTTATATGATTTTAAATGTTGAATTTTGCACCCTATGTTTTGTAATCAGTAGTATCAGCATAAAAAGCCTTTTGTGAGCTGTATTGTTTTCACTTACCTTTGGATTATCTCTCTTGTAATTGAACAAAGATTTCTATTCCTGTTCAGTGGGTAATTTCCCATAAGAGTGGAACATATGATATGACCAGCCCAGTGTGTTGTAACTAATTTAGGAGTTTGTATCTCACCTCCTATTCTGAGACAGTTTAGGTAAGCCACCTCAAATATTTTTCATACATGATGCAGGTTTTTTAAGCTATAGTCTATAGTGTTTTATCACTGTTTTTATACTTCTAAATTATAGGCCAGTCTTCACTGAAATTAAAAAGAGAAAAAGAAAAAATTATTGCAATCATGGTTTCACAGTCTGTATTTCACTTGACACCAGAGAAACTTTGTATAAAGGTATGGTAATCTGGTGTGCATTAAGTGATCTGTCTTGGTTAAAAGTATATTTATTTCAATGTAGTTAATAGCCTGACCAAATAATAAATTATGTTGATTGTTTTAGCATAAAACTGCAGGTGCTTACACTACAAAGATTAAGATAAACACTTGACATGCTGTTTTATAAAACCTGACGATTTAAATGTTTTTATTTAAATAATAAATGTTTTGTAGCTACTGTATTGCAAAGTGACCTGAATTTTCTTGTAAAATATATTTTAATGCTTTCTTAACACATACAAAGGAGTTCTCTGGTGAATAACCAGGAACTATAGACTATGGACAGCCTGTTCTTGGAATATTTGAATGTAATTGTTACTTTAAGATAAATTATCTTAACGTTCCTGTAATTTCTTGTAAATGGTGTGAGCAGGAACATGATATCAACTTTTTCTTTCTTTCATATGATCCTAATATGTCTTTTAATGCTTTTACAATGTTGGCTGGGTATCTTAGAGGAGGTAGAGCAGTGGATATAAATAAATTCTGCATCTGAATCAGCATCAATAATACAGGTAAGGAATAACATTTCTGTTTTTTTGGGGGGGAGGGTTTGTTGTTGTTTGAGGACATTTGGTACTTTGTTTTTTTGTTTGTTTGGTTGGGATTTTGGGGGCAAAAGAAGCCAGTATTTTCCTTGTAATATTTTCTAACACCTTTTGTGAACTTTCCTCTTCTCCTCTGCTATCATGCCATGGGTGCATTAGCCTGTCCTTCAGTAAGAAGAGGAGGTACCCATTTGCACAGCGGCAGCAGCCAAGATATAACAAAATCTCTAGCGGTGCAGTGGAGTTCAAAGCTGTAAACTCGGTCTTATAAAGACATGCCTGAATGGATCTTTCAGTGCGGCTGGCTAGATAACAAATATTTACATGGCTTGTGAGGTCCAGTATTGAGTCCAGATTATAAACCAAGCTGCACAGACACATTGTGCATAAAATAAAACATTATTTTATGCACAATGTTATAATGGTAATATTAAAATCTGCATATATGTGTGTGGTAATGAAAAATATCCCCTTCTCACTAGCCACCTCCATTTTTAATATAACGATTCACAGTGAATGCATTATGATATTCTGCATAATGAGATTCTGTTATCTAGTACATTTTTTGATGTAAATTGAGGTTGATTAAGATGGCATTATTAGGTATTCTACATTAAGGCCAGAGTCCTTGCAAGCATGTAATGGATTTGTCCCTGAACATAAATGAAAAGGAGCGAACCAAATACGAGTTGTCATCTCAGTACTGTTAGAAATCCAGTATCCTCCATATAGCTAGTTTGATAAAATCACATTTTTAACCAAAATAAATGATTTTGCTAATAGCCTGGAGAATAGACCTACAAAGCTAGGCAAGTAGGATATATTTACTTTTCTGTTTCACAGAATCCCAGGATCATTTAGGTTGGAAGGTTGGAAGAGACCTCTGATTATAGAACAGTCCGACCTCCTCTGCTAGAGCAGGTTGCCCAAGACCATGTCCAGTCAAGTTTTGAGGATCTCCACAGATGGGAGACTCTACACCTCCTCTGGGCAATCAGTTTCTATTTGATCCACCCTCATAGTAAAAATATTTTCTCATGTTCAGATTAAATTTCCTGGGGTTTGGGGATTTGATTTTTTTGGTTATTTTTTCTTTGTTACTTGTTTGGGGGGGTTTTTGTTACTTGGGTGGTGGTGGGGGTTGTTACTTGTTTGGGGGGGGGGTTTGTTACTTGTTGGGGGGGCGGGGAGTGTTGTTGTTTTTGTTTTAGTTTGTGCCCATTGCCCTGTCTTTGGACACTGGTGAGAAGAGTCTGTTTCCCTCTCTATTCCCCCTAATCAAGTATTTATAAACAATTATAAGATCCTCCTGGATCCTCCTCTTCTCCAGGTTAAACAGTCTCCGCTCTCAGCCTTCCACATATAAGAGATGCTCCAGTCCTTTAATTGTCTTTGTGGCTGCATTTGTTCTAGTAAGTCCATATCTTTCTTGTACTGGGGAGCCCAGACCTGCGCCCAGGACTCCAGGTGTGCCCTCACCAGTGCTAAGTGTCAGAGAAGGGTAACCTCCCTCAGCCTGCTGGTGACACTCCTAATCCAGAATGTCATTGGCCTTCTCTGTAAGGACACATTGCTGGCTTATATTCAGCTGCTTGTCTACCAGAATCCTCATGTCCTTTTCTGCAAAGCTGCTTCCCAATTGTTTGGCCTGCAGTGTGTATTGATGCATGGGGTTGTTCCGCCCCAAGTGCATTTTCACTTCATGAGATTGCTCTAAGCCCAATTTTCCAGCTTGTCCAGGTCTCTCTGGCAGCACAAATATCTGGTGCATCAGCCACTCCTCACAATTTTCTATCATCTGCAAACTTGCTGAAGATACACCCTGTCCCAGTATGGAGGTTGTTAATGGAGATATTAAACAGTATCAGCCCTAGTATCAACCCTTGGGGTACTCCACTGGTGGCTTGGTGACATTTAAGCAAGTTTTA